TGTGTGTGTGTGTGTCAGAGCTGCTCCATTTGGGAAGTGTAAAGGTAAAGCAGTGACAGGTGTAACTCGTGTTGGTTGCAGCCCTGCAGGCACTTAGCTCCCTGTGAGCCTGAAACACAAGTGGGGCAAAAAGTCTTTAAAGTCGAGACTAGACTGATAATTGCTATTCACCATCGCGAATGGATGCACTGCCATGTCAAATTGTGCACGATTATTGTCTCAACTAATCATTTTGCCTTTAAAATGTCAGAAAATGTGAAAAATGTCTGTTTCCCTGAGCACAAAGTGGATGTTTTTATCAGGCAGTTTCCAGTTTACAATCACATGACACAAAGAAAAGCATTGAATTTGTATTTAATTGCAACCAGCATTTTAGCTTGAAATATTATTAGACCAATTGATCTATATAGATACATTTTTATTTGATTGGCTCATTATTCAATCAATAATCAATAATCTGTCATTTTCTCGATTAATATTGTTGCAGCATTGTCACTATTTTTTGCAGCTCTAGACTGTACGCTGAATCCACAGGGCATCTCACCACTACAGTGAAATGTTAAAAGTGTTTCTGTGCAAGCGTCTGCATGAAAACGTCTGTGGGCCCCTCCAGTGTTGGATCGACCAGTGTATTCTGTGTAAGCGCTCATGCTGTGTTCTGATTGGTCGGGTGGTCGGTGGACGTGTGTGGCAGCAGCAGTCACATGGTGTGGATTTGTGACGGGCTGATTCTGGTGGTATCTCACTGGGATCTTGGAATTCACTCTTTGGGCTTCTTTACCAGCGTTTCTGTCATTATTGTCTGCTTTCTGTCTTCTCGGACAGCCAGTGTGTCAGGGCCCGCTGGTCATCAGTTCGGTGTTGATTCCTCTTGTTGTTCCTCGTGTAATTACACAGGATGCAGGCTGCTCGGTAACATTTGACCTACAGTCTTCAATATTGTAGCAAATTCTCTTTTTCTCCTTCTTCATATACACAAATCCGCTCATCCGTTTGTGTGCTCCGCCATCTAGCGGCGCCGCCATTACTGGCCAGTCGTAGAGATTCTGTGACAGCAGCAGCAGCATCGGTAGCTGGAAAATGACCACTTGACCATTCGCCACATTTCAAGTAGGGGTGTGAATATCGGAAACTATCGTATTGCGGTATATTGTTTTGTGAGATAGTATCGATTCTCAAAAATACTGTAACCCTTCCTTACTGGGTAATGTAATACTACTGTAGATAGCTAGCTTATTTAATCAAGAGTTGCTTTAAAGGTTAGTTTTTTCATTGGTATTCAGGAGGATTTAATGAGTGGCCTGCCATGCGGGCGTTTCTGCACAGGGAATCTATGTACAGTGAATGGTCATTCTTCATAAGGAAAAGGCTTGTGTGTTTTCCACAGTGGACGTTTGCCACTACTGTTGGAGCAGCTGAGAACTGCACCGGTTCTTCCTGATTTCATAGACATTGCTGTAGAAAGTTACATTACATAGAAAGCCAAGAGAAAAGTAGAAAATTGTTCACTTCTCAGGACAGCGTGCATTCCAACACGCCACCGCAGTAATGGCAACTTCTTTCCTTCCGGTATTTCCCTGGTATTGATATTAGGATCAGTATATTGGTCTGTCAATTTGTGCCTTTTAAAACATTTTGAAGTAAACTTTTAAGTGTCTGCAATAGTTCCTGGACTTTATTTCAAGGCGCTGTTTGGTGGGAAATGGCCATTACTGTAAGCCTGCTGCCTCTGGGTCTGTTTGGCTGAAATTAGTGCAGCATGATACGGTAAAGCCATCATATTGCGATTACTGTGATTCCTGATTAGTGTGGGAATGATCAGGCATCTCTGCAGCACTATAGTGCTTCATTTTAATGCTGTTCGACACACATTTTACTTTTATCAAAAAACTGCAGCTTCAGAGATTTGCATATTGCACTTTGGGAT